GTGTCCACTAGCTCAGGCACCCCTCTAGTCACCAGAATGGAGGTGCGCAGATAGCAAGGGACCAATGAACAGATACTCAGATACTTAAAGAAAAGAATGTCCACACCTTTATCTCAGCAGTTCTGCCAGGCGTCTGTGGCCGCTCTGATCCTTCCCCGCTTGTTCTCACCCAAGATGGCGGCTCATGGAACAGCTGAGCGTCCCGGACTAGAAAGCAGTGGATTTCTTGACTCTGCCACAAATTCCCCCAGCTGTGAGCCTTCCAACCTTCTAAGTATTCCTTTATATGTGGTACAGAGTTCTGGGACCAGCCCCTGAGCTTGCTTGGTCGGGTATTCTGTGTTGTTGTTGCCAGAGTTCTTTACAACACTTCCACCTGATCCGCCATCTTGTTTGTTCTCTCCGAAATAGCCTTTTAAAGTAATGGAATATTGGAATCCTAGTATCTTTCTCATTTTTTCCTTAGCATGCCACCATCCAGAACTGGCCAAGTTCAAATTGTCACATGACAGCAGTGGTGACCTACAGGTAATTTCATGTTTTTCCTCTTTGTTTTTGGTCTACTTCCTGTGTGAACCTCTGGAACAGTGAGTGATAAGGTGTTAGTCAAATTGCCTGGTGTTCAAATCTTATTTTTCTATGATAACGCTTTTTAAAAAATATTCCTACCTTGGTTTTCCTCATCAAGGCTATGTGTGCAAGACTACAGTGAAATGAAATGGAAAATGTATAGTGTCTAACAAAGGATACACTTTCTTACATTCCTATTATATGCTTTGTAATAATCTGAAGAAATCCTCTGTGAGGAAGTATTGATAATAATTATTACATCCCTGAACATTAGCCCAAGTTCTAAAAATTAACCTTTGTATCCTTTTAGATCTTTCAAGGCATTTTTCCCACTCCTTGGCAACTTCTCTCAGCCAGAAGTACAGCTATGGGCACTGTGGGCCATGTACCACGTCTGCAGTAAAAACCGTATGTACTCAAAACATAATCTGTTTTTAGCTTTTACTTGCTTATTTTTATATTATGATTAAGTCTGATTTTAGAACGATGTGGCTTTGAATTGAACATGGAATTTTGAGAAATTATTCTTCTGTGCCCTCTAGATAGATGTTTTTTAAAAAAAAAACAAAACTGAAAAGTTTGTATTCGTTTTCAGAATGCCACAAAATTAGTAATATATTTACAAGTGGATATCAAGTAATATCTCAAGGTCAGTGGTTCAAGCTCACCAGCCACTTCTCAGAAACCCTATATAGGGTCACCAGGGTTCACAACTAGTTTGATGTGACATCAATATCAACAATTAAGTAGTATAGAAGAAAGTGACAGTTTGCTCCTATTCCTATTCCCCACAAACTATTAAGCACTATTAATAATTTGACAATGCCATTTTAGATGGTTAACTATACATTTTATAGAATATAACTAGTATGAAAATGTTTCTAAATAAAAAATGGGGGCTCATTCTGTACCCTCATTTTCTGTGTTGTTAAGTGCTGTCGAGTATATTGACTAGACAGAAACCAAATGTATAAACTTCAGTAGTTATAATACCAGAAATAATCAGAAAATGTAATTAGGGAAAACATACCATTCATAGTATCACTAAAAGCGTTAAATATAAAAAATAGCTTTAACAAGTAATGAGACCTATATTAAGAAAAGCCTTAAGTAATTCTGAGATTTATCATGTACCTAGTTGAAACGATTAAGTAAGATACAAATGTCCATTTTTTACTTTTGTTATGAATTGAGTGAAGGTTTACAGAACAGATCATCAGTTTTTACATTCAACAGATGATATACTTCACTTCATTACAATGATTGCAACCCCCTCCATGTACCAACAGTTAACAGTATTTACCTCTATTCACTTCAGATATTGCATTCCTCCCTGTGTCTCTGGCTACCTTCATCTTTCCTCTGCAAACCTTCAGCTTGTTGTATATTGTCTGCCCTGTCACCATGTTAACATGTGTCTACCCTCTGGCACGTGAATAATTTTCCCTTTCCCCTCCTGCCCCTGTAACCAACACAGATTGTTTCTTTTATCTAGAAAATCTCTTCTTGCCTTTTTTTTTTTTTTTGGAAACCTTTCATTGTGAATTGAATGAAGGTTTACAAGGAAGATCAACAAATCATTGCACTATTTACATACAGTTACCCTCCATTCACTACCAGCCAACAGTATTTACCTTTATTACCATCATGACCCCACTTTTTTTTCTTTTAAGTTTTTATTGTGAGTTGAGTGATAATTTACATGGGACAACATCAGTTTTGCTCTCATCCTATTGTATTTTGTTTAATTGCAATGATTACCATCTCCTCCATGCATCATCATTTAACAGTATTTGCTTCTATTTCCTCTGGTTGTACACAAAAACACTCAATAACTGAAGGAGCGCTGGTAGCGTAGTGGTTACGAATCGGGCTGCGAACCTTAAGGCCCGCAGTTCGAAACTACCAGATATTCCGCGGGAGAAGATGAGGTGTTCTGCTCCTGTAAAGATTTTCAGCCTCGGAAACCCTGTACAGGGTCGCTATGGGTCGGAACCGACTCGACAGCACTCAACAACAACAACAAACAACCACAGGGCACATTTTGCAAGCCTGCCTCGTAGACACCAGCACACAGCCTTTCCCTTTACGTGAGTGTAGAGTTCTCAGCTGTTATGTTGCTCCATGCCATCACTGCTGACTCCATCTCTGGTGTCACTGCTTCTCTGGTTAGGGTTTTCTTAACTTTTTACAATATTAGTCTAATGAAATATTTTTTGACAACTATTTTAAAGTTCATCTGGAAGAGTAGATTGGCAAGAAACTCCACTCACCCCCACCAAATTGTTTTTAGGAGCTTTTCTAACACTTCCTTCAACATTATAGAAAGGCATTATCGGTGGTGCTAGCTAGCACATGATGGTACTAGCCGATCAAGTGGGATCAGAATGGCTCAGACTCCAGTGTGTTAACTTAGAAGAGAGGCAGTATTATCACTAGCATTTAGTGGAATACTTACTGCTTGCCATACAATGTTGTAAGCTTCATCTTGAGTAATTCAGTTAGAAGGGTATTGTTATCATCCTCATCATCCGTATGCTACATATGAAAAATAGAAGCACAAAGAATTTAATTAACTTGCCCAAGGTTAAATCAGCTAGTAACTGGCAGAGCAGAGCTAGGATTCTCACCTAGTGGTCTGACTTCAGGCTCTGCTCAGTATTTGTGCCCATTCCAAAGAGAGGTGACCCAACGGAATGCAGAAATCATCAGACAATATCTTTGATATCCCATGCGAGTAAAATTTTACTAGCGGTAATACAGAAACGGTTGCAACCATACATTGACAGAGAACTTTGAGGTTCAAGCCAGATTCAGAAGAGGACGTGGAACGAGGGATATCATTCCTGACGTCAGATGGCTCTTGGCTGAAAGCAGAGAATACCAGAAAGATGTTTACTTGTGCTTTATTGACTACACAAAGGATTTCTATTGTGTGGATCATGATAAGTTATGGGCAACATTGCAAAGTGTGAGTATTCTGGAACACTTTATTGTGCTTATGAGGAAAGTGAAAAGGACTTAAATTACTTACTGATAAAGATCAAAGAGCACAGCCTTCGGTATAGATTACATCTCAATGTCAAGAAAACAAAAATCCTCACCACTGGACCAATAAACAACATGCTTATCAACGGAGAAAAGATTAAAGTTGTCAAGGACTTCATTCTTCTTGGATCAACCATCAACACTCATGGAAGCAGCAGTCAAGAAATCAAACAACATGTATTGCATTAGGCAAATCTGCTGCACAAGACCTTTTTACAATGTTGAAGAGCAACAGGTCCACCTCACCCAAGCCATGGTATTTTTAATGACCTCATATGAATGTGAAAGCTGGACAGTAAATAAGGAAGACTGTAAAAGAATTTATGCTTTTGAGTTATGGTATTGGAGGGGAATATTGAAAGTGCCATGGGCTGCCAAAGAACCAATAGATCCGTTTTGGAAAAAGTGCAGCCAGAGTGCTCCTTGGAGGCCAAGATGGCCAAACTTCGTCTCTCATAGTTCGGACATATTGTCAGGAGTGACCAGTTGCTGGAGAAGGATATCATGTTTGATATGGTGGATGGTCAGAGAAAAAGATGAAGACCCCTAGTGAGATGGATTGGCAAAGTGGCAACATCAATGGGCTCAAGCATGGCAGCAATTGTAAGGTTGGCCCAGCACCGGGCTGTGTTTCTTCTGTTGTGTACAGGGTTGCTATGAGTTGATACCGACTCAGTGGCACCTAACAACAATAAAAACCTCCTTTGGATACACACTCTTTACAGTCTTTTTTTTTTTTTTTTTATAAACACTGCTTTAATGACTAATTACATATATAAGTAGAAAATACATATATGTAATAATGAAAAGAATGGGCTTTGGAACCAGTCTACTAGTGGTGCAAACTTAGACAAGTTACTTCACCTTTTTGTACCCAGTTTTCTCATCTGTAAAATGGGATAATTGTTGTTGTGTGCTGTCGAGTAGGCTCCAACTCATAACAATTCTGCATAGGATTTCCAAGGAGCATCTGGTGGGTTGAACTGCCAGCCTTGCAGTTAGCAGTCCAGTACTTATCCTACAGTGTTACACCAGAGTAATATGGGATAATAGTACACTCTATAGAATTGTAAAGAAAATTGTCATAATGTTTGTAAAGCATTCAAAATAGCGTTTGATTTATAGTATTAAAGCATTTGTTAAGCATATTGTTTTGTACATGTTTTAATAATTTATATGATTCTTAGAAATAGAATTGCTGAAACAGAAGGCTATTTACATTGGTAATTTTGATAGATACTGCTAAATTGTCCTCGAGTGTTGATTACCAATTTGCACCCCATTAGCAGTGTCCTGGTTTGGCAGTGTCTGCGGTTCAAGCTCACCAGCCACTGCTCAGAAACCGTCTACAGAATTACTATGAATCAGAATCGACTCGAAGGCAATATATAGCGTAGTCCTGGTGTGGCCCTGCAGGATAATGGGCTGGGCTGCAAGGCCAGTGGTTCACACTCACCAGCAGCTTCCCAGAAATCCTATACAGGGTCGCTATGAACTGTCTCGGTGACATTAAGCAGCAACAAGAAGTTGCTGCTACTTTCTTAACATTTCAAAAAAATGTTTTTTTGGTGTTTTTTTTAATTATCAATTATTATTCATTGAACTGGTTGATCTTTGTCAATCTAAGGTAAAGTGGTGGTGTTAACCAAGTTAAAGCCACTTACTGAGTGAAAAGTCTGTTAATACCCTTTGAATTAATTTTTTTCTGTTGTTTGCTTTCTGATTTGAAGGAACACTTCTAAACTAAGCATTTTTCCATGATGGGCTACAAAATAAAAAAAGTTGTATTAGCTTTTTTCCTTCCCAGTTTATTATTTTTTCATTTTACTCTCAAGTCATATATGACCCTTGGGTTTTGGGTCATACATATGTTAGGGTATAATATATAAGTCTCTTATATTTTTGGTCCAGTATTTTTATGGGTTTTGTTTCTAACATTACAGTTTTCAATCCAGTTGAAATTTTTCTTGTCATACGGTATATGGTATGAGGTATGGCTCCAACTTAATTTTTTCTAGACTGCTACTTCGTGGTCTCAATATCAAAAACATCCAGAAAAGGTAAATAGTTCATCTACCCTTTTCTGGATGTTTCTGGTCTATTCCTGGGTTATATCTTCTGTCTATACATTTGCCAATGCCACAGTTTGAACTTCTGAGATTCTACAGTATATTTTCAAATCTAGAAGGATTTATGCCCTGTTCACTTCTTTTTCATTGTCTTTTCATGTCAATTGTAGACTCATCTAGTTCTTCCCAGAAAGCATTCGTTTTGATATTTTTAACAGTAATATGCTAAATCTGAATTCTTAAGTCAATTTAAAGGGAATTCACACTTTTTTGACTTTGACTATTTCCATA